CATTACAGATTAAAAAAAAAAGACTGGCACATTTTCTTAAACATCGGCCAGACTAATTTCAGATACATAAAAATGGAAGAGTGATGGAAAAAGTTCTTATATTTTTACATTTTAATATAGTAAAATTTCTCCCCAAGAAGCCAAAAGCCAAGAGACACAATAGAAGAAACTTTGCCCAGATCTCTGTTCTGCTTTGATTCAGCACCTGAATCTACCCTCACCATCAATGACCTATGTCCCAAATACTTGATTACTTTAGATCTGTGTTTATCAATCTTAACAACTTTAACTTGTGTGGAATTCAGTTCAGTATCAGTTGGTGAACTTTCACTCTGAGAACTCAGCCAGTTTGCATGTTAGCTGGGGAATTCTGGGAATTGAAGTCCACATCACCTAATATTGCTCAGAAACGGTGTTCTAGTTTAATGCCCACATGAGGAGTAGCGTACCGGTTAGCTGTTAATGGATTTGAAACGATCTTTTCCAGCCTAGCCACTCACAGGAGGGAACAGGTGGCTGGAGATAGAATAAGTTATGACATTTTTCAGGATAAAACGCAGGCAATAAAAAAAGGGGGGGGGGAAGCCCCCCAGTCAAGCTCAGCAACGCGAATGTGTTCCTACTAACGCTATCTCAGCAACAATACACAAGGGATTTGTCAATCGTTTTCTCCCACGTCCTCATCTGGCAATGGCTCTGGGATGTGGTCTCCCATCCCAAGTCCACAACAGAGGCGAATCTTACTTAGCCTTCTAAGCTACAAACCGGTCCCAGGCGAGTCTCCTCCCGCTGCTTCCTACCGGGATCGGTCTTACCCGCGAGACCCATGCCTTTCTTTGCTACCATGCCCGCCACCAAAGCCCAGGCTGCCCATTCGGATCCAGGCTACCCCCGGGGTTCTCCCTTTGCTACTGCCTCGCGGGGAGCAGCGCTGCTGCCGGGCTTTCCTGCTGGATCTAGTCATTCACCTTGCGTACAGAATAGATTCCACAGCTTGGCGAACAGGAGCCCCATCCCGGAACGGGAGCCACGATCTTCGATAGAGCTGGCGAAGCGCCTTCCTCCGTCTCGTATTCCCTACCCTACGCGGCCGAAAAAGCAGGCGGGATCGAAACCGCTTCGGCTCCGCCTCCGCCTCCTCCCTCCAGCCACACAGGCAGCAAGCGGAGCCACACCCCTCCTTCCTGCCTCAGAGCTGACGTCACTACGTCGGGATTCGCGCAAGATGGTAAAGCCCCGGGACTTGCCATGACGTTGCCCCGAAGAGCGAAACAGGGAAGTCTCTTGGCCCTCAGAGAGCTTCCATTTGAGTGCCGCCATATGCGGGGCAACTGAAGGTTGCAAGCGAGAATGATTTTTTGTATTGCCCCGAGCGTTCAATACACAACCGGAAATGTTAGAATATAAGTTCAATACTGATTCCTATCAGCGAGGCAGGATGACGGAAGTGCCAGACTATAACGTCATCCCTGTCCTCGCTTTAGGTAGCTACGTTTTGTCCTTCCCCTCTCCCCGCCTCTGTTTAATATTCCTGGAGGGGTGAGAACACCATTTCATATGGAGGAGAGTTCTTCCTCGTTTGAAAAGGAGAATACATTTGGGAGATATTTGATTCCCAAATTCCAGTTAACAAAAACAAAACTTGTTTTTTCTACTTTTTAAAAAAATCTGATTTCTATAAAAGCAAAAGATATATGGGAGTGATCAGCTATCACAGAACATGGAAAGTAGAAACAGCTTTCAATTTATTCCCTTCCAGTCGTGTTAGATTATCCAGTGTTTCTCAAATTTAGCAACTTTTAAGATATGCTGGCTGGGAGTTGGAAGTCCGCATCTTAAAAGTTGTTAAGTTAAAGAAACACTGAATTAAACTCATTGGTTTTCATCCTGAATGAGAATCCCAATCATTTGGTGGGGAGCAGGCTCGGCAATCTCTTTATCTATTGTTGAATAAGTAATATGCCTGGTTTTGCCAAACTACACTTTGCAGGCTCCTTCCCTGTGGGCTGTGACTTGGAAATTTAGTTCACAACATTTGCAAAGCCATGGTCTACGAATGTACCTCCCTTCCCATCTTTAGATTCAATTTCTAAAATTTAAAGATGTTTTAATGCTCATAAATTCTATTCACTTTGAGTAGTTCAGATTTAGTATGTCTGATTATATATAGAATATATATAGAATAGTGTACTGGTCCATTATTTAATTATCATCTAAAATCTACTTTTATGAAAGTAATATATTTAGAAGAGCAAGAAAACATGTAAGCCATCAAATCAATGCTCTATATTTCTTTGTGTTTAGGGAAAGTATACTTAATAGCAATAGCACTTAGACTTATATCGTATATCACTTCACAGTGCTTTATAGCCAGGTTTGAAGGAGTGTTTTTGGATTCAAAAGTTTTTTAAAAATGGATAGAATGAATGGAGGTAAAGATTACACCTAAAGTAGCAGCCATATCAAATTTAGATTTGATTGGTATTATCAAACTTTGCAACTTCTCAAATCCCATACTGGAAATGTACTCTTTAATATTAATGACTTGAATTGATAAATGCATAAACTAAAACTATGATAGAATCTTAGAACTATTTCTGTAATTTGTTTCCAACTGACGTTTTAGTTCGTTAGCTCTGACAAATAACCTACAGAAGCTGTTTTGCTACAGAAACAAAAACTCTTGTGAAATCGAAAGATACATATCTTTCATTATACAAGTACTAGCATGACTGGGTTACTTTATCAGACCTAATGGTGTATTAGTCATTGTTACCTTTTTTGGTGCTAACCAACAAACTGTTTCTGTTTTGAAATTCTAGTGATTTAAAATAACCAATAAAAATTGAATTTCCCTTAGATGTACACTTCTATAGATATACTAATGCACAGATGGAATATATACACATTGATCTAGAGCCTGACTGTATTGTATTTGATTAATTAAAGCTACATCAAGATTTAATCAATCACTGTGGGATAAGAAAACACCAAGGACTCTTCCTATATACTCCAATGTCTGCTCCATATACATACAAGTTTTTGAAAAACAGGAAAATTTACTCAGTATTTTGATAATCTTTAGTCTGATTATGGTGACTGGTTGTCTTTCAGATATTAAAACTTTTTTTTTATCTGCCCTGGCCAACAAATGAGAGTTAGAAGTGTTCAGGGACGTATACATTTGAAGACTAGCAATACCTGGACAACTTCATTTCTACATGAGATATGTGTTTGCCAGATTTAATTGTACAATATAAAGTGTGAAATTGGAGATCCTTTTTTTGGGGGGGAAAGGGGGGAAAGACTGTAGGCAGTAAGCTGTATAGTGGGGAAAATCGTCACTCAAAATAGTACCGATCGGTACCTCTTGTGAAAGTATGCTGCTGCTGTACTAGTTGGAAGTATTAGCAATAGAAATTTGACTTATATACCGCAAACATTTTACAGCACTCTCTGGGAGGTTTACAATGTCAGTACATTGCCCCCAATAATCGGGGTCCCCATTTTACTGACCTCAGAAGGATAAAACCTTGAATCCATTAGGATCAAATTCTAGGCTGTGGGCAGAATTTGTCTGCAATATTGCATTATAACCATCAGGGCTCCTCAGTATCAGAAAGAGTATTCTACTTCCACACACACATCATCCAAATGTTATCATTTTTTCAACAGAAACCTTTATTATGACAAATAACACCCACCACTGAGTCATAGCCATTGATTCTCATAATTTACAATCTATTCTTATTTGTAGTATAATGGAGAAGTGAAATATTGGCCTCTGCTTTAGGAATTAAAATGAGCTGGAGTAGCACTGTATCTATTTCAGGAAGTTGATTATGTTAACCAATACATGTAAGACTCTAATTGCAAAAAGCTAAAAAATTATGGGCTTGATTCAACAGTTGAGTACAGGAAAGCCAAACCTTCACATCATCACTCCTATGCACATTCAACGTTCTGGAGATGTCATTGTGATCACTGGGTGTCAAACCGGATTCTTCAAGGCAGAACCAGGTGCCTAAAACCTGCCTGGAAGGTAACTTGAAGAAACCTAAGAGCCAGGCTTATATATCTGGGATGCAAAAATCCAAAGGACCACGAGATGGGAGAAAAGAACTTTTGCCAGTCTTTTGCTGTCTTCTAGATTTCTGCAGCCCAGATTCAGGATGCCATCAAATTATGGGCAAACATCCTTCTACAACAGATTTATTGATTAGATGTGATGAAGTTACTGACTCCTGACAAGTATGTAGATAGTTTTTTCCATGTTGATCTGTCCCTAATCTGGTCCAATGGTACATCCATCGCCATTGTAATGAAGTGCTGTCAACTTGCTGGTAGTTTATTCTTTCCTTCTAGCAGCAACCGAGCAACCAAACCTCCAATATAAACAGCAAGCTGAAAGGGGTTTTGGTTTTTTTTGCAAAATGTTTACAAGACATACAAATGAGAGAGTTGTGCATAAAAATGGTAGGCTTCTTCTTTCAAAAGCAATCTTTTTAAATCAAGGGTCTTCAAACTTGGAAAGTTTAAAACTTGTGAACTTCAACTCCCAGAATTCCTATGCTAACATGATTGGAGGAAAAATTCTGGGAGTTGAACTCCACAAGTCTTAAAGCTGCCAAGTTTGAAGACCCGTTTTAAATGCACACAACATGAATCCTGTTCTGTAGCCTGGTGATTGTTCATCCTACTAACACTGTGCTTTTGCCTGCTGTCAATCCAACCAGAGAAGAAACAACAGATGCTGGTATTCCTCCAGTTGAAGCACTCCGGAGACCCAATTTCCCAGAATTCCCCATCCGTCTGGCCATTGGGAACACTGCAATTCATAATCCTAATGCATTTCGGAGGCTCCAGGTTCGCAAAACGCCTCATGAGTCTCAGCGCAGCTTGATGCCCAGTCGGCGCATGCCAAGTTGCAGCTACGCCTCTCCCTCCATCTCAGGAGAGAGGCGGCAACAGCGACACTGGCGGGGCTGGGCCGAAGCAGGGTAGGAGTTCCTTTGGTATCCCGGATGAGGCCGAGCGGACTGGCCGGAAGAAGGAAAGCAGAAGGTAGGATCGAAGAACGAGGAGGTGAGGAAGAGAAAACGTGTTCTTCGCGCTCGGGCTCTCCAACTACTTTTCCCAAATTCCCAGCTGGGAATTCTGGGAGTTGTAGTTCCGACGCGTTAGAAGAAAAAAAAAAAGGGTCTGGCGCTCGTCAGCAGAGGGCGCCCAGGTTGTTAACATTCCTGAATTGGAACTTGATGGGTCTGGTCTCTGAGACCTATTCAAAGATGGCCGCCCTTTTTTTTCCGCCCTACCTTCCCTCCCTCCCGAAACTAGGAGACGTTTCCGGTTGTAGTGTTGCGTTAGTTCGGAAGAGCAAACTCTTGCTCCCCGGAAAGGAGAAAAGTAGCCGTACTGGCTTCTCCAATGTATTGGGCTGGATACAACTCGCAAAATACTCCATCCGTCCCTGACCAGATGGATTATATAGGGATGGAAACTCAGCATTCATGATGGGTCTTAAAATGGGTCTCGGCAGTCTCTGTTAATGGGATTAGTCCCAGAGAGGATGATCTCTCAAAATAGCATTTTAGGAAGGGTGGGGATTTTAGTCAGCAAAGCTGGAGGACGCCAAGGTCAGCAAGCCTGTACAGAAGAAGGGTGGTTCTAAGTGAAGAGGGAAGAATTGGATTAAAGCATGGGTTCTTCTTAATGACTCTGCATCCTAGAACTGCTATTGGTGAAAAATGAAGAAATGTTTTATTTGAAGCAAAGTGATAGAAATACAGAATCTTTGTATTCTGCATTTGAAATCACCTAATAAAACTCTTAAAGTAAACTTAATATTTTCATAGTCTTTGTTTCCATGTTATTGATGCTCAGCTATTTCTTCAAAAATATACAAGGTTCTTTTGACAAGGCAATGGGTTTCTGTAAATGGGCATATAAGAGATGTCAGTATGCTTTATTGATCAAAAGAGACAGGCTCTCGTCTGTAGGCAGATTACCCTGAATAAAAACTGAGGAGTATAATAATGTATAACGTTATAATGTTGTTATCTATATAGAACATTAAGATGGATCCCAATAGATCATAGAAGCAAGAATTAAGGTAGTATTCTGAACAGTTTGTTAAACTTTTATACCATTGAGTTTTATAGTGTAATATGTACATAACAAGTAATAAAAATTTAGCAACAGCAATTGGCAATAAAAAGTCTTAATTAAAACACAAATAACTAACACTATAAATGACCCAGCTGAAAATAAGACAAACATTACTTGGTATTGGAACTGGAACTATTTGGATAGTTCCAGTATCAGAATGTGAACCCTTTGAAGTAGGCCAGATCAAGAAACAAACACTGCAGGCATGCCAGAAATACTCCCTTATCGTTATAGGAAATATCACTTTGTCAAACATTTTCATTGTCTCCTTTTAAGGATAACAGGTGGGGCTATTCTGAGTTTCTTCCACCCTTTCTACAGTCCCAGAGCTGAACAGTCATTTCATCTTTCTCACCTCTTCAAGGAGCATCACAGAGAAGAAAATATTTTATAGTCCTTCTCTAACCTCTGCAAAGAGCCACTCAGGAAAGGCCCTTGAAAGACAAAAGTTAGAAACCTGGTGAATAATGTACTACAGGTAATCCTCAACTTGTGATCACAATTCAGCCCAAAATTTCTGATGCTAAGCAAAACAGTTAAGTGAGTTTTGCCCCATTTTATGATCTTTCTTGCCACAGTTGTTAAGTGAACCACTGCAGTTAAGTTAGTAAAAAGGTTGTTAAGTGAATCTGGCTTTCCCATTGACTGCTTGTCAGAAAGTCACAATAGAATAGAATAGAATAGAATAGAATAGAATACCCTTATTGTCATTGCATTCCATGAATACAATAAAATTTGAAAGCTACTCCAGCACAGTGCCCCCAACACCACATCACAATCACACTACAGAGTAAACAACAACAATAATAATATAATAATAAAAATAATAAAAAACCTAGTCTAAAACCTATCTAAAACATTTAGTAAGTCAAATAGTTTAAAAAATGCCACTATATACATAGAACTAAATCACAAATGCACTGTTTGATTCAAGACAATTATTGCCTTGGAAAAGAAACTCTTTCTCAGTCTATTCTCATTTTAAGACATCTATAATGTCTCTCTGATGGTAACAGTTCAAAATATGAATGACCAGGATGAGAACGGTCTGGAGAGTTTTAGTGCTCTAGAGAGGAGTCTGGTCTTCGCAATCTCTTCCAAAGAAGAAAGAGAGCAACCAATGATTTTTTTGTGCTGTGTTTATAATTCTCTGGAGCATCTTCTTATCTACTACAGAGCATCCAGCATACCACACCGTTACACAGTATGCCAAAATGCTCTCGATGGTAGAACGGTAAAAAGTAACCAGCAACTTCTCACCCAGACCACTCTTTTTCAGCAGCCTCAGAAAGTGCAGGCACTGTTGGGCCTTCTTTGCAGTGGCCATAGTGTGGACTGACCAAGTAAGGTTGTCGGAAATATGACTTCCTAGAAATTTAAAACTATGAACTCTTTCCACACAATCTCCATTGATATATAGTGGGAGAGACTCTGCTTTGCATCTTCTGAAGTCTATAATCAATTCTTTGGTCTTTTTGATGTTCAGGGTGAGGTTATGACCAGTCTGAGAACCTCTGACCTATCGTCTCCTCCTGATATGAGTCCCACCAACGTGATGTCGTCTGCAAATTTTATTATAGAGTTAGTGGGACAAGAGGGAGTGTAGTCATAGGTGTAGAGTAAATACAAAAGGGGGCTCAGCACACAACCCTGTGGAGAGCCTGTGCTTAGAGCAAGAGTGGAGGAAAAATAGCTGCCAATCCTAACAGTTTGGGGTCTGTTAGTAAGAAATTCCCTTATCCAACAGCAGATGTGAGAGGAGAGGCCCATTTCCAGCAACTGATCATGTGACCCGAGCATACTGCAGCCATCATAAATATGAATCAGTTTCCAAGTGCCTGAATTTTGATCACATGACCAAGAGGATGCTGTAAATGTCGTAAGTGTGAAAAATGGTCATAAGTTATTTTTTCAGTGCCATTATAACTTTGAATAGTCACTAACAAATGGTTTTAAATCAATTATCTGTATTGCTTTCCCAACCTGTTGCCTGTGAGATATGGTATATTGGACTTATCCATGGTCATGTTGGTACAAGCTACAACAATAATAGCTACTGTATAGTAGTATCCATAGTCATGTTGGTGGAAGCTACTGTAATATTCCAACCAAAGAACAATGCCACACTACATGTCATATCCTTGAAAGAGGGACAAATACCAAATCTTGAAATGCAGTCAAATATCATTCAATTTCATTTCAAGAGATGGAACAGGTCCCCTTTGTTAATTATAATTCAGAGTCACTTATATAGCACTAAAGAGTCTAAACGGTACCTGGTTATGACATAACTTCTGTCATATTCAATCAAAATCCCCAACTTTTCATACTCCACTTCTAGAACTTGAGCTCCTAGTACTGTATACTGAGTAATAATTATGCTGGCTGGAGAATTATGGAACTGAAATCCACAAATCTGGAAGGTTAACAGAGTGGGGAGGAAAGAGAGGGTCGTATCTGATTGCTCTAAGCTAAAAGGAGAGCTGTTTGGTCTAGTGGTTAAGGAACCAAGCTTAAAATTTGGAGACCATGAGTTCTACTCTGCCTTAGCCATGAAAGTCAGCTGAGTAATGTTGCTGTCTAACTGAAGAAGCTTCTTGGATGAGAAGCAAAACATTTTCAAATTAAAAAAAAAAAGTCCAGTTGCCTTTTGAAAAAAGCACCTTTGGGACTTCATAGGTTTGTTGTGGGGAAAATAGGAGGAGGAAGGTGTGTTGGATATGTTCACTGCCCTGAGTTATTTGTAAAAATGTGGGATACAAATAAATGAAAACATTGAGATATAATTGGAAAGGTTTCCTTTTTCTGCAGAGTTCATAACCAAATACTGCATGTAAAGCTCTTTGAACACCTGAAAGCGCATGGACATTAACCATTATTTTTAAACACTGTAAGAAGAGTCCTGTTCAAGTACCCAGGGCATTCATACACTTTTTTTTTTTGAGCAATAGTTAACCGTAAAATTACAACTACAACTGCAACTGGCCATTCCACATCTAATTTCATGCTATGTGATTTCAGTTGTCAGTTTCAGAAATAAAAAGCAAGTAAATCTGCAGTTTAGTAACAAATGATTTGGGGAAATAGGGTTGGGGTTTTGGTTCATCATATATTTCTTTTCAAACTTTCTATCCAGAAGAACTAATTTTATTGGTTAGTCTTAATTTTACCAGTTAGCAATAAATTCTGTCTTGTGGGATTGTTTGAATAAAAGGCAGGATATAAAATAAATGATTAAATAAAAATGAAGACATTTTATGGAGTCCAACATGCTTCTAGGCATATCAAATAAATTGTAATATTATTTTGAGTGTCTTTGGGTAGAAAATCAAAATATAAATGGAATTAATTTAATAGCAGAGTATTATGTTACTCTGTAAATAGTGTGATACCATCCTATATCATGTGTAATCATCAGGATGTAATATGAAATAAAAGTTGATTAAATTTTAAAGTGTTTCATCATTCTTTGGTTGAATATTAATTATTCAATTCATATTGAGTTTAATCATGGTTTACTGAATAAGCATCATTGGATAAATCTACACAATATGCAAAACCATAAATCATGGTTAAAAATACGATAGATATTTACAGCACGCTAAATTATAATCACACAGCTATATACTGGTTTCATATTATATGTAAAACAAGACTTATTGATGAAAGAACATTACTGATGGGAAGACATTACATTTCTTCAATAGGTCTCCTGATATAACCATATTTATTGTCTGTGTGAAAAATTTATTAACATCTGATTTTGTTTTAAGCTTATTACATGCACATATCTGATGAAATAATACATTGCTTATTACAGATGTTTCCCTGAGAAAAAAAGAAAATAGACTGGAGCTATGTCTATTTTCTGTAAAATCTTACTGAAACCAGAGGTTGAGGAATATCTCAGGGCTACATTTAAAAATGCTGAGGTAAGTACTACTCTGGTTGATTAAAATACAATGCACCAAGCAGAATTAGGTTGCAGTTATCCAAATGCTGTCCTGTGGAACTTAATTTATAATACTAGCTCATATTCTATTGACACAGTGTTGTTTTCTATTACGATTTTTTATAATTACTGCATTCTTCTTCAGGGCTATCAACAGCTACTGATTTATTGGATTACCAGGCCATTGCATTGGCAACATGTCATAATGGAGGAAGGATTGATACTGTCCAAATGATGGTATTATAAATCAGGGGTCCCCAACCACCGGGCCGCGGACCGGTACCGGGCCGTGGAGCACTCTTTACCGGGCCGCAAAGAAAAAAAAATTAAAAAAAAAATGGCGGCTTTCTTCGCCTTCGGTGAATGCTGCTGGGATCGGGGATCAAGGACACAAATGAAAGAAGGGGAGGGAGGAAGCAACCGAAGCCTGTCCTGCTCTCTGGCTCAGCTCTCTCAGTCGCTTTCTCGCTCCTCCACCAGCCCAGGAAGAAACTGCTTCAAAGAAGCCGGGGGGGGGGTGGCTTTTCCTGTCGCCGCAGCTTCCCCGAAGCGCCCGTTTCACCCCCACCCCGCCCGCCCGCCCGCTCGCGGTTCAATCCACAGTGCTCCGTTCTGCCTGCCTGCCTGTCTGGTTGTTTGGGAGCAGCTTCGGCTGAGAATAATAACTATTCGCCTCTTTTTATCAGCCGAAGCTGCTCCGAAACGAAGAAGGCAGGCAGGCAGGTAGAACGGAGCACTGTGGATTGAACCGCGAGCGGGCGGGCGGGCGGGGTGGGGGTGAAACGGGCGCTTCGGGGAAGCTGTGGCGACAGGAAAAGCCACCCCCCCCGGCTTCTTGGGCTGCTGGAGGAGCGATAGAGCGACTGAGAGAGGAACGAGGCAGACACCTGAGGGAGGGAGGGAGGGAGACACCTGAGGGATGGGGCTGAGGGAGGCAGAGCCGAGGCGCTCCCTGAACTTGGTGGTTTGCTGGGAGACGTTTTATTACCCGACTAGGTAACAACATCAGATGTTACCTAGTCAGGTAATGAAACGTCTGCAAGCAAACTACCAAACTCGGATTCTCTCCCCCCCCTCCCAAAGGTTGGGGACCACTGTTATAAATCACTAAATCGAGAACCTATATACTGCATGAGTCAAAAAGAGGGCTATGAAAATATTTACATACACCTCACATCCCGGATATAAACTGTTTCAACTCCTATCCCCAAAACGACGCTATAGAGCACTGCACACCAGAATAACTAGACACGAGGACAGTTTTTCCCCAAACACATTCACTCTACTAAACAAATAATTCCCTCAACACTGTCCAACTAATTACAAAGTCTGCACTACCACTACTATTAATCTTCTCATCACTCCTTATTGCTCATCCTCTCCCACTTGTGACCGCATGACTGTAACTTTGTTGTTGTATCGTTACAATTTATATTGACTGTTTCCTAATATAATTTGATTGCTTATTGTATCCACTTAACTATTATTAAGTGTTGTACCTTATGATTCTTGATGAATGTATCTTTTCTTTTATGTACACCGAGAGCACATGCACCAAGACAAATTCCTTGTGTGTCCAATCACACTTGGCCAATAAAGAATTCTATTCTGTTCTGTTCTATTCTATTCTAAACATGGACGGTGTCTCTGAGTATAGTGATGTTGCTTCTAGAATTAATATATGTCACACTACCCATTTTAAATAATAGTGATTTTATTTTAATGTATTATTTAAGCTGACTTGATCTTGCTACAAAGTGAAATCTAAATATTCAGAATAAATATATAGAATTACTATTGCGTATATGGTAAATGAGGTGGATGGGGAAGAATACCCAAGGCTAGTCTAAGGAAGAAAATGTCCGAAAAATTAAGACAATATTTAATGCCAGATACTACGACTGGGAAGTAAAATTTTATTTGTCAAAATATAATGAGGTACCTTTTTCTTCAAGCTATTTATGTTTTTAGATAAATATATATTGATGCTGAAGATGTTTATTAAACAATAATATTATAGGTAGTCCTTGACTTGTAACAGTTCATTTAGTAACTGTTCAAAGTTACATTGGCACTGAAAAAAGTGACTTATGACCATTTTTAAACACTCATGACCAACCATTGAAGCATCCCCATGGTCACATGACCAAAATTCGGGTGGTTGATAATTGATTCATATTTATGTTTATTGCAATGCCTTGTGATCAGTTTTTGCAACTTTGGGGACACCAGCTTCACTTAACAACCATGTTATAACTTAACAATTGCAATGATTCACTTAATAACAATGGAAAGAAAAGTCAGAAAATGGAGTAAAAGTCACTTAAATGTTTCACTTAGCAACATAATTTTTGGACTAAATTGTGTTCATCAGTCAAAGATTACCCATACTTTATGATTTAACTTAGCAAGCATATGGCAGATTTCACTATTACTTTCATGATATCTTTACATGTGTACAGCTGGATTTATTTAATTAAATATATTTAAAAGAAAAATATTTCCAATTCTTTTGCCCACACACTCCCATCAAAGCCAGCTCTGTAGTAGTTAGCATTAAGTAATAGTAGAATTGTTAATTAAAATGAATATATATCTGTACCTAGCAACAATTAACAATAAAACTATTCTGTCATGATTGCAAAACATCAAGTGGAACTTCCAGAAGAAAATTGTACTTTATAAATCCTGTCTTTATCTCAAGAAATTTATTTTAACTTGTTTCCAAATCTTGTTTAATTTATAAATAAGTTAACTTGCTTATTTAAATTTATAAGTTAAAGATTTATAAATTAAAATAACTTACAAATCTAAACTACTGTAATTTACCATAAAATGCTGTTATTATTATTGATTATTATTATTTCTTTATTTACTTTTATTTTAAGATTACAACATTTATTGGTTCATTGAAAGCAGAAGAGAAATATGAGTCCTTGTTAAATAACCTAGCACATCCACCAGCTTTTACCAGTGTTCGGGTAAACACACATTTGGGTTCTGTAGAATATGTAAGGCATCTGCTTTCCAAAGAGATCCAAAAGGTGAGTCTTTTACTTCCTTCCTTTATTTCTTTGTTCATCCACTTATTAGTTAGGTGAGGATATAGGTAGTCCTTGAGTTATGACCACAACGGAGGCTGGAATTTTGGCCATAAGTGAGTTATTGTGGTTGCAAATCATGTCAGAGCCTATTTTATGTCATTTTTATGGTTGTTGTTAAGCAAATCATTGTGGTTGTTAAGCAAATCACACAGTCATTAAGTGAATCCAGTTTCCCCAATGGGTGGTTTTTGCTATAAATTGGCAAAAGTTGCAAACTGGAATCAAATGACTACAGCTTACGGTTACAGGAACTGGGCGTGGTTAGTCTAGTAAAAAGAAGGGCCAGGGGAGACATGATAGCAGTCTTCTAATATTTGAGGGGCTGCCATAGAGAGGAAGGGGGTCAAGCTATTTTCTAAAGCGCCTGTAGGCCAGACAAGGAATAATGGATGGAAACTGAACAAGGAGTGATTTAACCTGGAAATAAGGAGAAACTTTCTGACAGTGTGAACAATCAACCAATGGAACAGCTTGCCCTTGGAAGTTGTGGGAGCACCATCACTTGAGACCTTCAAGGAGAGATTGGACTGCCATTTGTCAGAAATGGTGTAGGATCTCCCGCTTGGGTGGGGGGTTGGACTAGATGACCTATAAGATCCCTTCCAATTCTGATTATCTGTTATCAGCTGATCTTAAAGGCAAGCCAAATTGCCAAATGCCAAAATTGTGACCATATTGTGATCATAAATCATTGGGGCAATGGGACAATTATAAGTAATTTTTCCCTTTAATTTTGAACCATAGTGAAACAACGACTGTAAGTTGAGCACTACTGGTAACCAAGGGTGCTGCATATAAAATAAAGGCAAATTATAGGATACAACTTTAATAAAAATAATTAAAAATAATTGCATTTTTTTTAAAGTTTTTATTTTTTACAACAAACATACAGACAAAACAAAAACATAAAACCCTCTTTCAATTATATACATACAGTGTGTCAGTTGGTTACAATCTTTTGTGCTACCCTTTTTTTTACCATTACTCACAAGTTATATAAATTCTCACCTTATCAATCTAACTTGTGCTTATGTAATATCAATTATTAATCATTCATTTGACTAAACTATTTTTCTATCATTCTATATGAGATATTCTAAATTTCATTATAGTTTAATCTTATTTATCCAATGGTTATATATTTTATATTGTATTATATATCAATCTATTAACTTTTATTATAAAGCTTGCTAATCTATTTCTTTACCATGTCTTTTTATCTAACCATTGATAAAATAAATCCCATATCATATAAAATTGTTTATATTTTTGTTCTCTAATTTCAAATGTCAATTTACTCATTTCGGCACAGTCCATGATTTTCTTAATAATTTCCTCCTGCATAGGTATTTTTTCATTTTTCCAATTCTTAGCAAATACAATTCTAGCTGCTGTTAAAACATTTACAATCAAATGTTTCAATTCTTTACTGTATATTTCCGGTATAATTCCCAATAAGAATATCTCAGGTTTAAAGTCTATGTGTTGTTTTATCATTTTTTCCAACCGTGTGTGGATTATAGTCCAATATCTTTTTGCATCCGAGCATGTCCACCATATATGGTAATTTGAGCCAAGTATCGGATGACATTTCCAACATTTATCCGATTTATTCTTGAACATCCTTGCAATTCTTGTCGGGGGTAAGTGCCACCTGGAAAGCATCTTATACAAATTTTCTTTATATGCAGTTGACATTGTCATTTTATAATTTTGAGACCACAATTTTTGCCATTTATCTATGTCAATCCCATATCCAGAATTTTCCCCCCATGCAATCATTGTTTCTTTTATTTGTTCTTCCTCTAATTTAAACTCCAACAAATGTCCATAAAGTTTTTTAATTACTTTTTCATCAGTACCTGTCAAAATTTTATCTAAGTCAGTCAACTTATCATAGATACTTTCTGTTTTAGCATCTTTATCAAATCTAGATTGTATTTGCAAATATGAAAACTAATTCATTTTTACACCTTGTTCTTCCAACGCTTGCATAGATTTAAGTTTACCCTTTTCATTCAATATCTCACCATATCTAACTGTTTGTTCCTTTTTATATATTATTCGATAGGAAAAAGCTTCAATAGTAGATTACCATAGTGGAATTTTAAAATAATATTGCTTTTTTAAATCTTCTCCCAGTTTAGAAACAATGCTTCTCAAATATAATGTCCTCTAAAATATGTCTGTGTTTTAGTTCCCTTATATGAGAGGAAGGCATGCCACCCTAACAGCAAGTCATGTCCTTCTAAATTCAAAAGTCTAGTATTCCTTAGTGATATCCACTCCTTTACCCACATCAAACTCGTTGCCTGGTAATATAATTATCAATTGGGCAAAGCAAATCCTTCTCTTATTCTTGCATCTTGTAGCAATTTAAGTTTTATGCTCGCTTTCTTCCCCTGCCAAATGTATTTTAGCACTATTTTGTTTAGATCTTCAAAAAATTATTTTCCTAGTCTGATTGATATTGTCTGGAATAAGTATAGGATTCTAGGCAATACATTCATCTTAATTGTAGATATTCTCCCAATCAATGATAATTGTAAATTTTCCCATTTTATCAAGTCCGTCGCAATCTGTTGTTTGAGTTTAAGATAATTGTCCTCCTTAAGTGTGCTACATTTTGGTGTTATGTGTATCCCTAAATACTTAACCTTATTTGTGACCTGGATCCCCAAAATTTCCTCCAATTCTTTCTTTCGTCTTGCTAAAATGTTCTTTGTTAAAATCTTTGTTTTATCTTTATTTATTTTCAGCCCTGCTACTTTCTTCTATCTTTTCTATCAGTTTAGGTGCTGACTCCAATGGATCCTCTAATATGAATACCAAGTCATCTGCAAAAGCTTGCAATTTATACTCTTCTTTTTTAATTTTCATTCTTTTATTTCTTTTTCTTCTCTGATGTTCCTATTCAGCACTTCCAGTGTTAACACAAACAACAGAGGTGACAATGGACAGCCTTGTCTAGTCCCTTTTCTTATATCTATAAAATCTGTTAACTCTCCATTTATCATAGCAATTGTAGTTTGTTTACAATATATCATTTCTATGGCTTGAGTAAATTTTTTACCAAAGCCCATTTGGTCCAACTGTAGCAGCATAAAACACCAATTCACGTTATCAAAAGTTTTTTGTGCATCTAAAAACATCAAAGCCATTTGGTTTTTTTGGGATGTGCCTCATGGTATTCCAATGTATCTAAAATTATTCTCATATTGTCTTTAATTTGTCTCTTCGACAGAAATCCATAATTCATAACTTCATTCATAACTTCTAATAAGTGAAGATTCAATGTTTCCTGAAATGTCTTATAAAATTCCACTGGTGCTTCCATCTGGACCTGGTGCTTTCCCAATGTTTTGCTTTTTTAAAGCTTCTGTTAATTCCATCATTGTTATGTTACTTTCCAACATTATTTCAATATCTTTGGGTATCTGGGGCAAATTTGCTTCCTGTAGGTATTGTTGAATTCTTTCTTCCTGAACATTCTCTTGATGGTACAATTTTCCATAGTAATCTTGAATAATTTTTTTCTTCTCCGCATTTCCATAGCATACATGTCCTTGTTCGTTTATCAATTGATTTATCCTTCTCGAATCTCTCTCAATTTATATGCTAGCCATCTGCCTGGTTTATTTGCATCTTCAAAATAATTCTGCTTAGCATTTTTAATTTTTTGTGCTATTTCCTTTTTTTTCCATTAGCCCCATTTTATGTTTAGTTATGTCCATTTTAATTTTAATGTCCTTTTTTTGTGGAAATTTCTGTAGTTCTTTTTCCAGCCTCTTGTAGTCATCTTCCAATATTTTAAAGGTTTTTCTCTGTTTTATGTTTCTTTTCCTTGTATAGTCCATTATACAAGCCTCTTGTATAAGCCTTCATCGTGTCCCAGAGGTTCTGTAATGATGTATCCTCTTTTGTATTTGCTTTAAAGAAAAAAGTCAGTTCTCTCTCAATTTTCTGTTTAAAATCTTTTTCCTTTAATATCGTATTATTTAAAGTCCATCTAGATCTCCTTTTTTGTCCTTTCCATACAAGTGTTATTGGATTATGATCTGCCCGGGTACTTGTTTCTATTTCAATGTCTTGTGTGTTAGAGAGCAATTCTATTGACATCCATATCTGGACCATGATGCATGTCTATTTGAATAAAAAGGACATTGTTTATTTTCTGCATTTCTCTCTCTCCATGCATCTTTTAGGTTTATCTCATCCAACATTCGAAAGAAGGATTTTGGCAATGTCTTTCTAGCTTTCTTTGCAGCTTTTTGTGTTTTATAATCCAATTTGTCATTTATTATTCCATTAAAATCTCCCATCAGACAAATATTAGCATAGTCCAGTTCAATTATTTTCTTGTGTAATTTCCTGTAAAAATCTTCTTGATTATCATTTGGAGCAGAGATTGTTATTAAAAGTATCTTTAGATTATTGTCCATTATCTCCACCATCAAAATCCTTCCATCATCATCTGTATATATTTGTTCCGCAGGGATTGTATCTCTAATGTATAATACCACTCCTCTCTTTTTACACTGTGTCAACACTGTAAATAATTTCCCTAATTTTTGTTGTTTCAATATATGGTTGTGTTGTTTTTTAATATGTACTTCTTGTAGGCAGATTATATCAAATTTTAATTTCTCTAATTTATGAAATATTTTTCTTCTTTTAGTAGCTGAATTAAATCCATTTATATTAATTGTAATCAATTTTCTCTCATCCATTTTAGACCTTATAAGAAGGATTGGTTGCTCTAGTAGATCTTGGTTCTCATTGTTCTCTGGGTACACCACCTACAGCTCCTTCTTCTTTTTCAATTACTGCTATACATTCCTCTTGAAATTCAATTAACGACTCTTCTTTTCTTGTATCTTCCTCCCTTCCTCTGAAGTCTTCCAGATAGAATAACTCAGCTTTTTCAACTGTATCAATTC